ATATGTTGTGTAAATTATTTTAATTAAATGATTAATTAAATAGAAATTAATTTTTATTTTTTTAATAATAATTAATACTGAAAAAATACCATTAACATATATGTATATATGTTAAAAAAAATCTAATTAAAAAAGAATTATAATAAAAGAGATTTCTCCTTTCTTTATATATATATAATGAAGTATAATTGTACTCCAATTATTAGAGAGGTTTGGAACCCGAAGTCACGTTTGTAAGGTTCATGTCCCCTCCTCCAAGGAACGGTTCGAGTCGACCTCATGACAAAATGTTCAAAAAAAAATTATTAGAGAGGTTTGACTTAATTTACAAATACCTAACAAACAACAGTAACTTAGTTGGAAAATTATTTGGTAAAAAAACTTTATTTCAATTTTTTTTTTGTGTAATTAAAGTTCAACTCGTTGTTTAGTTTTTTTTTTTTTTTTTTTGAAAAATCAACTCATTGTTTTCTTTTTTACAAGAAAAATTACAATATTAAATTAATATTTGTTTAAAGAAAGTCGAGTTTGAGACTCAACTTAAAAACCGAATGCATTCTACCTGTTTTTTATTTTAAAGAAATGTGACCATCACTACAGCCACGTGGGGAATGAAACTCATTATTTAATTTAGTTTAACATCCCTCATTATCTTTTTTTTTTTTGAACACACTCACTCATTACCAGCTAATTACATGACCACAGATTTACAATCTTGGGCTTAATCTAACATGACATCCAACAAACAAAGAGGAACGGTATTTCTACCTACTCTACCAAAATAAATGCAATAAAGGGACACACACAATGGAGTAATGATTCAGCGGATGAAAACGCGGGACGAAAATAAAGGACGATAAGTGATGCAAGATTTATGTATATAATGCAATTACCAATTTGACCCCCTTGCATCACTTGTCGTCCCTCATTTTCGTTCTGCGTTTTCGTCCGCTGCATCATTACTCCACACAATGTATCCGATGCTTCTGATCTTCTATAGGATTGATAATACTTGTGTTATTGTGAAATATTAAAATTGTTGGTTTTTTAGTATTTTATTGTAAAAAAATTATATTATTATTTGATAACTATTTTAAAAAGAGTTTTATATTTTAGTATGAGTATGAAATTATACAAAATATTATGCAAAAAAGTGTTATGAGAAAACAACTCTAAATTTATTTACAAATCTATTTGATTATCAATACAATATTTGTTTGTTCATAAATTTGTTCATCCATAATTCGTCTGTATGTCAATTTCATAAATATGTATTCCTAAATTCTTTTACATATTCATCCATTAATTCCATATATTCATCCAAAATTATCTGTTTTTTCATAAATTTATCTACAAATTCATTTGTTTATCCATTCATAAGTATCCATAAATTAGTTTATTCATAGATTCATTTGTATTTGTATGGCTGCATTCATTTGCCTATTGTTTGTCTTCAACAAACTGTAAATTTGATAATTCATCAATTTACTTATACCTTATCTATATCGATAAATCTGTCTATTTGTCCATCCACAAGTTTATTAATCTTTATTCATATATTTCTATCCACATTATAATTTTATTTATCCATGTCTATAAATTTATTTGTCCACAACTGTTCACAAATTCATCCACTCATAAATTCGATCACAAATTCATTTATATTGTTCATCCATGTCAATGAATATGTACACTCATTTGTAAATCTTTTCATCTACAAACTTGTTCATTCATCCATAAATTTATATACATAATTTGTTCATTTGTCCATAACTATTTACATAAATCCATATATTTATCTATAAGTATCCATAAATTCATGTACAAATCTATTTGTATCAATTGATCCACACTCATACATCACTTTGTCCATGTTTGACATCCCCATGTGCACAAATATGTCTATTTATAAATTCATCCACAACTATTTATAAATTCATTCGTTTGTTCATCCCCAAACTTGTCCATCTGTCTATCCACTCCAAAATTTGTCTACAAACCCATTTATCCGTCTACAACCATTTGTAAATTTGTCTATTCATAAATTTTTCTACAAATCCATCTATGTTTATTCGTCCATTCACGTCTGCAATTTGCCCACAAAGCCTGCTGCTGAAGTCTTAGGTTGCTAGTCCCTATAATGTTTCTCGCCTTCATCAAGTTTTGAAATTTAGGTGGTCCAAGCCTCCCAATATAGTTATTAAACTTAATATTGATGGCTCGACGATGGGAATCTAAGGATGGCAACTTTCAGATGCATCTACAGATACTCCCATAGGATTTGGGTTCTTGGTTTCAAATGTAAAATTGATATCACTAGTAGTCTTGCTCCTGAGTTATGGGCACTTCGGGACGGGCTTCATATTGTTGTTCCTACAGACACCTCTAATCTGCTCATTGAAACTCACCCCTTAGTGGCTACCCTGCTTATTTTTATATTTTCAAAAAAATTTTGGTGATACATTGGATAGTTATAAATGTCATTAAAGATTATTTAGTGACATCAAGTTTAAATACACTTATCATATCTTTTATTAAACGATGACAAATTTAGTCAAGTAAATTCTTAAAAAAAAAAAAAAACCATTGTTTAAATAGTAAAAACCCGATGCTATAATATTTGCATATAAATTCCTGTCTCACAAAACATATTTTAGCTCACAAATCCAACCTTTAGCCATATGAACCTTGCTTTTGCTAACCAGCCATGATAAACCATTAACCCCCATGGAGGTGGTCTTCAATTTTTGGGCTACCCAGTTTTTGACTAATTGCTTTTACCAAAACTCGCTTTAAAACATTGATTTTCACCCCAAACCAAGTTCCTCTCCAGTAGATTTCAAATTCCATATTTAGCTTAAAATCTACTTGGAAAAATGCTATGCCCAATAGCCCCCTCAGGCTCGCTCTTCTCATGCTCTTAGTTTTCTCATATTTGACTACAAGGAGGAGTTATTGCAGAGGATTCAACATGTTGAGAGCACTCATATTATGAACGAATAAAATATGGCAGCAGATCAAATGGTTAAACTTGGACACTCAAACTCGTAAGACTTTTGTATCTTTCAAAATGTCAAATTATATTGTATTGCTGAAATGATTGGGATCGATTTTCCCAAAACAAGTTTGATTTATCGCTTGTTTGATTTTATTTAATTCATCTCTATTTATCCAAAGTACAAGGAGACACACAACCTCATAATTGTACTAGATTTTTTTAACCAATTGTGAATAAGAATTAAGAAAGGAATACTTGACAATGAAGCCTTTATTACCTTTACACAACAACTGGACTAATCCCATGTTTCATCTCCTCCATTTAATTGGAGGACAATCGTTTTCTCTCATTTCCTTTTAACTTTGTTTCCCATGATCCAAACACGAGGGAAATAGAGTATAAGTACGAGTACAAAAAATGGAATTAGCAAATAATTAAAGCCAACTCTTTGTGAAGCAAAGGTCTAATTTTTCCAATATTCAATTATTGTCCAACAATGGACCAGAGAAGAATTATTTTCTAACATATTTTACGAATATACTGACAGGAGAGAAGAATACTTTGAGAATTAAATAAAAATGTCTATGCAATTCCAGTTTCTGGGTTTCTGTCTACGCGTAGGAAGCCTTTGGACCTTGTTCGTTCCACCAAGGGCTCTCAAGGTCTGTTAACCAAAATTTTGAAGAGGAATGTCATGCCATTAGATGCCCAACTCGTTTTCAGGGCAATAACAGGCTTAAAAAATGAAGTGGGAATGGCAGAAGCAGGAGCATTTAAACCATACTTTACACATATATGTATCACAAGAAAAGAGAGTGAAGAGATTTCACCAAAAACCGAAAACTCCCCCATAAGCCAGCCCGGTCCTCGCAATTGTACTCGCCAGAGGAATGATTTACAATAGTTTTCTTGCCGCCTCAAAGTTTGAGCTCATGAAGATCATCCCCGGAATTACCACCCAGGGGGTCAAATTGGTGTAATGAAGGGACAGAATAAAATGACGTGCCGAGCATTTCTTCTAGAGGTTTTAGTTCCTTAGGACTGCTGAGGCCTAGGCCTCCACTCCATGATGCCGTTCGTCTAGAGTGTGGAAGGTCTGAATTTTTATCATCTGCCACTCCTGCCTTCTTCTGCATAATATGATCCATGCTAGGATATCGTTGCATGGTTACTGATGATGGAAATACTGATTTTGATAATGATGATGATAGAGGCACAGATGAATCCTCCTTAAAAGATGTTGAAGGATTTGCATTGTTCACAAAAGTTTCTGGTGTGCTTTCTCCAGAGTTTTGAACCACCTCGTCACTTGGGCTGACTGTAGATGAGGTAACTTGAGCTGGTATGAAAAACTTAGGGCTAGAACCACCTGCAGGTTTTGCGGATGGAACAGAAGGTGACTGGAATAAACTTGCTGGTGTCCCACCACTCTTGTTGAATGTGTCAACATACCTGAAACAGTCTCAATGCAATTAACTAATTGATAAATTGAAACCAGAATAATATAAATTATATAATGAAAAACCACACTCAGAAAGCAACAATGTTAAGTAACTAAACATTTAATAAAACGGCACTAAGATACTGCCTAAACCTTTGAAATCCTCCCCCAACTTTCATGGATACAAAACCACAAAAACACAAAGGTACACAAAATGAAAAGCAGATGGGCACATGCTTGCATACACATGAACTAAGAACTAGAGATGGTAAGCATTGCCTACAACTCAAGCAAACAACCAGATTGCCACTTTCAGTGCACACTAATGACCAGCAACATTTACTTTTTCCCATACCTGGACCGAACACCTATACGTGCACGTGCAGAAAACTGGTTTGAACTGGGTGGAATGGGTGGAATTCCTGAATTACGTTCAGAAGAGCCTAGGCTTTTAATCTCTGAACCACTACTTGTATGGAAGCTTTCAATTTTAGGTGTATCATTTTTACTATAATCAGGCATTCCATTCTGGAAGGCTGATGTTGTGGGTGGTGGTGGCAAGGTTGCTTCATCTGTGGGAGGTTCTGCTCCTTCCTCAACCCATCGCTTGAGCTTTTCATCATAATAGAATCTGTTCTTCTCCCCCAGTTTAGCCTACACAGTAAATACATAATAAATTAAATGCTTAGTTTAAAGTAACCAAGATGCTTGTCATCAAAGAATTTTCTTCAGAAATATATCTATAAAATACCTGTTGGTGGGGTCGAGATCTTAAGACAAGCCCTACAGTCTTCTGGAACAGCTGTGAACCAAAACGACCAAAACGAGATGATCCACCAGATGCATCAGCCTTTTCTTGAGTCTCAGATGAGTTTGCTTTGTTCAATGTATTGACCTGAGTATTGACCTGTTTAAATACAAAGAACATGATGTTAGGTCACTTTTGGGCCTCTTTGCATCCATTATCAAAGAAAAAAGAGAAAAATGTAAAACCTTCTTTACCATAGTACAGGAAATGAGCTATTCATTCATCTATATGATCGGCTGAATATTAATAGTTACATATTCTTTTGAACTTCAGAATCAATAATAAATAAAGAAAAAGGAAAAAATGTTGATTCTGCAGTTTTCTTGCAGCACAAGTGTTGTGCCCAAAATTGTTGGCTGAAAGAAAGCAATAATAGGGGCAGAAACAACCAGAATAACTTATTCATGACAAATAATAAGGATGGCCGTGAACATGGCCAGCCCATGATAGCTAGAAATGGGTTGAAATCCCCAAAACATATGGGGAGTTCTCCAACTCCAACCAGTCCACATCACAGTACCACAAATTCATGGCAGATTTCAGCCGAGTTAAACTTCCTCCAAACAAGAGAAGTAAATTCTTATCTCCCAATGATTAAGAACAAAGAATTTTTTTTTTTTTTTTTTAAAAGGGTTAAAACAACTATTGGCAGAGAACAGTATTACCTACCTTTCTTGGGCTTTTACCAAAGTCTGGCTCGGAAATGCTTCTATTGGGCATTATAGAGTAGCTGTCCTGACCAGTCCATTCACTTATAGGTTCCATTGATGCAGAAGGCATTAAGGATGGTGCAGGCGTTGTTGATAAACCACCTAATGCTTTTGAGCCTCCAAGGTGGTAACTAAATTCATTCTGTTGAATGCTACCATGTGCTGTTGAAGGGACAGGTGGAGGAAGGCCTCCAACAACACGATGAGCGGTACTGTCAAAGAAGGTAAGCAATTTACCCACAAGTTTGGTTGGTGCCAGATTCGTATTATAACCACCCTGCATATAACATTGTATTATTGAGACATAACTTACATGTAAGCTTCTGCATAGTACAACAAAGTGTGAGAGTGTGTGTGCACACACACATTTTTAAAGTAGGAATGATGAAGTTATCAAATATTACGGGATACCTGCTGGTGGATTCTTAATCGATCCTCAAGAGAAGACACTAACTGTTTCCAAATGTCAACCTCTGGTGCTCGACCAGTTTTTAGGGACTTTAAGATGGCATGACAGTACCTAATCCAGAATATCATTAAAAGAGGCTGAACTCATATCTGGAATAACCATCACTCAAATGATAGAAGTACCTCAGACTTACTTCAAAGAATCAGCAACTTTTCCAACTTCAGCAAGCATGTAGGCATAAATAAGCTTGTATGGTTGAAAAGGTAGAAGGAGAAACTGAGAATTCCCAAGCACCTTTGAAAATTCATAAACTTCAGTCCTCTGCCAACACAAGAAGGAAGTTCAGTTGCACCAAATAGGAATGATGATATGGGAAACTAAGTGCAAAATTTCCAATGTCAAACAAATATGAGATGATAATGTTTAATACTTCATAAAAATACAATGCATGGGAAACATTGGTCTGAAAAATAAAAATTCAAATGCATGGAAGTAAATGCAGAAAGGAAAAATCAAAGATTAATTGCTAGTAATAGTAAATGAGATAAGCATGCCTGCAATGAAGATCAAAACCCACAATTGTTTTTTTGCTATTAAAAAATGGAAAAAAAAAAAATCATGAAAGGGTAATTCGAAGAGACCTGAATAGCCTCAGGACTGGCGAAAGTTCGAGGAAATTTCCAGTGATCAGCACCGATAAGACAAAGTCTTGAACTCTCTGAAAATGGCTCAAAGTTGGCTTCTGCAACTAAATAACATGCGTGTGCAGCGATAACCTGTGCATTGTTCCCAGTAGGGAGAAGGGCAATGAATAATTCTTCAGAATTGCAGAAACAAATCAAAGGGAGAGGGAGTTAAGGGAACAAAAGAAATCAACCTAAAAAATAAAATACTGCAGCCTACCTCAGCCCTCTCCTTCCACAAGCAATCTCCAAGATGAATAATAACAAGCTCATCACCCTTTATTCTATTTGCTGTTAAGACAGCTAAGTTCTCCTCCCAATCATCCAGCATATTAGCTCCAAACTGTAGTCCACAAATAACAACAGAAACTTAAGGCAAAATCAATTCCAGTAGAATCTAAAACAGTTAAAAAATGACAAGCAGAGGCCAATTAAAAAAGAACGAAAGGCAGAGATATGTAAAGGGTAACTCTTTTCATCATATGATAGGCTTGTGAAATAGTAGGAAAAATCTGGTTTCTAGCATGGAGTTCTTTCTGCATCAAACATTATAGGTTATTCTAGCCAGCAAAGGAAAGAGAAAAAAGAAACAAACACCTAGTATTGATTTATATGCTTAGCAAGTTAGCATCCTTCAAACAACACATTCTCTCAAAACTTATCAGAAACAACCTGAAATTAATAGCCCTGCTGAAAGTAGAAGGAACTCACCACTGAATCCATCTACCAGGAAATAGCAAATTGTCCATGGCAAGAATGTAGATTAGTAAGGAAGGACATAGCGGAGTGGAGGAAAAAGTATAGCAAATAAAACTAGAGACAACAAAGATTATGATATAATTATGATACAATCTTATCAGCACAAGTACCGTAATTAAGTTCACCTGAGCAGGCATATTAGCATAACCAGGGAGACTGCTACTACTGGTTGTGGCACTGGAAAATACATCTGCAGGGTGCCCTGCAATTAGCAGGCATAATGTCCGCAATGGAGATCCAGCCATTAGTTGCTTAACTGCCATTTGCTTCACTGTCTCCCCAAAGAACTGCATGCATTTGTAAGAGAAAAACACAGGTATGAGCAAGTAGAAATCAAGTATCAAAATGTTTCTGGTCAAAGCAACAACATAAAAATGCAACAAAGCATAATCCATTTGAGAAACTTGCAAGATTCAAGAACATAACTGAGATATCACCCCACAAACCTGATCACCAAGCTGAGATGCAAGAACTAGAGCAGGTCCCCATAGTTGACCTTCCTGTGCACGTTCTAAGGCTTCTTTTTTCCTGCCAGAGACAAGAAGTTTCTGTACCTCAAAAGCAGTAGCCTGAACCAATGACAAATCCCTATTAAAGAAATTATTAATAAAATTCTCTGCAGAAATGATATTAACTAATGAAATTTTGAAAAGAAATCAGCAAGAGTCGTCCTGTCACACCTGCATGTGTGCTTCAGAAGGCAAGTTTTGCAAGCAGTAACGAAGAGCACCAAATTCACTTGATTGTACCCAATTTCCTTTTGCAGACCCAAAAAGTTTGGCAACAGCTGACTCTGGGCAATCACTTCCCTAAATTTAAGGGTAAAAATTCATGAAGTATCATTTGCATCATTTAACCATCAAGGAAATAATAAAGCTTAAACTTATACTTTTTGTCTAGATACAAAACAAATACCACAAATCAATAAATGCTCAGGAAATTATGGTCAAATAGCTGCAGAAATAGTAAGCGAAGACTAAGCAAACAACTTAATTATGCCAATCTGGCCATCTTGTTGTAAACAGAAAGCTAATGGAAACAGCCGACAGAATTTAAAATATATTTAGGGAAAGAAAAGGTCATAGACCTAGAAGTGACTCACCTTCAATGTCTCATCAGCGCCAAAGGGAGAACGAAGTTTTCCATAATGCTGACAGGCTATTTTCAGTAAAGATAAAAGCAACCTCAATGTTTCTCTTCTTCTGTAGTCCATGTTTGAAGATTCACAGCTAGCAATCCTTTCATCAATCCACCGGTTCACCTCCTTGTTTCCAACATTTCCACCGACCAATGGGCCAGGAAAAGATTGCTGGCACAATGTGTGAAAGTAATCACAAGCATCCAACCCAAGGAATGAAGCATCAGTGTTTCCCATGACAACTTCCATCAAATTCAGAACATTGATCACACCTGCTGGAGAGCCCTACACAAAAGCAAAATTTGGCTTCACGTTGCAAAAGTATTGCAACAGTAGAGTAATAAAATAACTAGTAAAGAAAAAAAAAATTACTATCTGGAAAATGGAGCAAAGAAATATAACCTACCTGACTTTCATAAGCTGAGCTTGTGTGAGACAAAGTATTATTTTTCAGGACAATAAGTTTCCCACCAAATCCAAAAGTGACTAAAGCATGTGGAGGGCGACCAGCAGAAGACCCTCTATCTTTGGTTGCTAAAGTGAATTGAGAACCACTCTGGAGGGAGTGATGAGAATAATTACTGGATTTCTGAGTGTCAAAATAAGCAGGTTTGAACTGCATCTGATGGCTTGACTCAATAGTTCTCTGATTATGATGCTGAGAATACTGTTGTGCAGGAATAAAGCTCTGAAATCTGGAGTCATTGCTGGAATCAACCATCTGACTTGACTGTTTGTACAAAGCAACCAATCTAGAAGGTTCAGTCCCTGTTTTTTGTTCAACTAGATTGCCTACATGACCAGGGGTGCCATATAGGTTTTCTTGTTGCTTGGATTCAGAAGAAACAGCCATTCCATTCTCAGAAGTCGAGTGAGTTTGCCAAATATTCATGTCCTGCTGAGTGTAGTGGTTAGTAGGTTCACTCCAACTCATAACATTATTTTGAGAGTCTATGCCTTGGGATCCATAATTTTCGAAATTTGTATCTTGATATTGCTGATTATAGTCTATGTTTGCTGACTGCTCTGTAGCTGGAGCATATGATTCCAATGTCCTCCATTCCTGGGCAATTGTGTCATAGTACCAACCAGGGTACTGAGGATCAAACACCATATGTGTCGGATATTCAGTATTTCCTTGTGGATTCTGGTTCCAGTCAGAAACACTAGCAGTTGCGCTGTACCCAGATATGCTGTCTGTTGCAGACTGAGCTGTTTGTTGGAAATAAAAAGCATTGGAGTTTTGGTTTGAAATAACCTCATGGCTAGTGGTGGCATTTGTTGTCGCATTTGTGTCAGACTCCTCCAACTGATGCCATTGCCCAGTGCTAGGGTCATATCTCCATCCTGGATAAAGATTTTCCCAGTACTGACTACTACTTAAATCCTGCCCACCCGTATACTGCCCAGATCCTGAGCCTTCATGATTTTGTAAATGACTGGAAGAACCCATATCAGTAGCCAAATTTCCTGATACATCACCAGTAGCAGTAAATTCAGCACCAGAATAATCCTTACTCCCTGAAGCTGTAAAAGGATCCTCAGAATTATCACCAAACTCATTGAAAAAGTCTGAGTATGACCCACGTCCACTAACACCATGAACATTCCCATCAGAATTAAACGAACTCCACTGAACCTCTTTTGCACCACTACCTGAAGCTACACCCACCTCATCCATTGTCTCATCTGGTGCACCCTCCTCTACAATCCCCTTTTTACTAGACTCATTTAGATTGGGTTGCATTATACTAATGCTCCCTTTAACAACATTATCCTCCTTAACATCCAATGATGCCAAATCAGCACCATCTTCACCACCCTTTTCAGCTCGACCACCACCCTTTTCAGCTCGACCACCACCAAAACCAATAAAACTATTGCCACCAGGCTCTACCTCCACTCCCGAGGAGGCCACTTCACTAACAACTAAACTAGAAAACGTTTTCAGTTCATCCGAACTGGAACCTCCTACACCAACATTAGAACCAGATCCAGTGAAATCAAACTCATCATCATCCTTAACCAATCTATCAAAGAAATCCTCGTCGGTCTGATCCTCCACCTCAAATGGAGGAGATGCCATCCACAACAAACCCCAAACTTATCCTACTACAATCAATTCCACTTTCAAATCACAAACCACAATGCAAAATAAATTCAGATCCAATTCACCGCCAAAATACTGCTCTAATCATAGCTCAAAACAACCACAATCACACA